TAAGTTAATGTATTAATTAAGTGAATTAATATTTATTAAATGAATAATTAAGGAATGTGATGAAGATTTAAGTAGTCACGGTACAAATAATCGACGGAAATACAAAAGGTTTTAATGTGCTAATTATTAAAGAAATGAGCAAAATGATTAAGTATTAAGTGAATTATTCTACATACGAATGAAAAATCATTAAATTATTTGTTGAATGAATAGAAGAATAATTTATTGAATAAGAAAAGGACTAAATAATCAAATAAGTGATTGAATAGTAGAATAAACGAGAAAATTATAGGATAAGAAGATAAATAACTAATTAAAATAATCCTAATAAAGAATCCGAAAGAAAGAGTGAATATAAATGAAAATTTTTTTAAAAGAATATATGAGTTAATTTAAATGAATAAATAAAAAAATAAGTTAGCGAAGGAATTTTAATGAATGTGAAAGCGTAATAGAATAAAAAATAAACCAATGAATGGTTAACTAATTACAATGGTTTTCTGTATTGCATGAAGATCTTCGCCTATTCGAAAAAGAAAAATATGATGTTATTATGATGAAAAATATTTCACAATGGTTATATGATGAAGAATATTTTCTCAGAAATATTTTATTAAAAATATTTGTTAAAAATATTTTAATGTGATAATATGATGAAAATATTTAAATTTTTATTCTTTTTTTAGAGGACTATACCACTTCTGGCTATCACTATTTACTAATAGCTACATAATTTGTATTTGGCGCATTCAATTTGAAGCGAATTTTAAAAAAAATAACATCGTTGTCACTCATTTTTATGAATTTTTTTGTAAAAAATTATTTTATAAGAAACGGCTAAAATAATTATTTTCAAATTCTTTCGCCTAAAACAACGATTAGTAAAATTAACAAAAAAATACGATTTTTATAATATGTCATGAAATTTGATAACTGTCGCAAAGTAAGTTTGGTAATTTTATTATGATACCTTAGAGCATAGCATAAAAACCACGCATTCGGTTAAATTTACTTTCCAGTTTCGTATTTTTGACTATATGTGTGGTAATCAGAACTATAAATTTGAAAACCAAAACTTTCTGTAAACCATTACCATATGTTCGATAATTACCAAATGAATGGTTTAAGTACCGTATATTTTGGTTTTAACAACAAGAATTTTTTTCTTAAAAAAAAAATAAACAAATAAAATAAAATAGAAATGTCATTAACATTCAGAACGGTAAATCTATCTGCATTTTTTCCCAGTGCAGTTTTGCGTTATGGGAATAAAAGAAATTATTAGTAAATTTTTTTTCTTCAAATTTATTTTTAAAAAATTTTTAATGCTGAACTGCATAAGCACAGGAACTAAATCAACAGCCCCATTACTTTACAACGCATTCCGGAAATACTAATCCAGGAAACAGGAGTAATGCTATCACGATCGATATACCAGAACTAGATAGTTAATTATGTTTAAGCTTAACTAAATGTATACATGGGATTTGTCAAATATTAGTTAATGTATTATATCATTCACCCAAGACGCAATATTATAATTAAAGTACTTGATATTACGTTGCACTGAGTTGCAAAATCATCTAGGTGATACAAGTGACCGTACAAATGACAACGCTATTTTTTTATATCCATAAAAGCCTTTGTGCCAGACTTTAGCCTTTGCAGTCCGATGTTAAAAAAGAATAAGTGAAAAAATGCTATAATGCAATGCTTTTCAGGAGAAGAAAAAAGAACTTGCCTCTCAGGAAAAGGAAAAAAAAATTCAAAAATTAAATTACTTTCATAAATGAAAGGAATTATTGATAATACTTTTCACAAAAGGTGAAATGAAAATAAAAAACAATTTATTTCATTGAAGTTAATATACTGTTAAAATTATCGATTAAATAGCTGAAAATTACTGGCACCCTGTGTTCATCATCCGTTATGTCCATTGTACCGCAAAATCCATTTTTGCAACAACATTTTATACCGTAATTTTTACAGTAATATATATATAATTGTAGTGATTCAGTGATTTGATTTTATTGTAAATATTATTGTATAAAAATTAAGGTACATCAGATTTTTGTTTCATAAAATTTGACGGTAAAAAGAACGGCACCCTAAGTGGCTGCAATCTTCACTGTAATTTGATCCGGAATCTTTTTACACTGTAGAGCAAATAATTAGTAGTTAAATAAATAAACAATAAGTTTAGATAATCAGTTGTAATTAAATACTATAATGCTCATACATGCTTAGTTCAGCATAAACTTGTGAATTTATTTTTATGTTTATATGCTGATTTTAATTTTAACAAAATTTAAATATAATCAGATAATTTATTAAAATGAACAGAAAGAAAATGTTTTCACACTTCATAATTACTCGAATCTGAAAGGAATGACGGTAAACTTCGACTTATTCGTATTTCGAATTATCACCAATTTCCGTTTTCGACTTTAAAATAATAAAAATTGAAATATTTCATTACTTACAAATATAGCTTCGTTAAAAGTAATTGCTCCTTTCAGGTTCTCCATCTAAACTGCATTTATAAGTTTGGAAAAACGAGATCTGTCTTCGAGCGCGAAGCTGAACGATTTTTTGTTTTGATGTCCTGACTTTTAAATTTAAAACATTCTAGCTGTGTGTAAAATTTCATTAAAAGAAAGCATATAATTACAATCACATATACTATTTCCAAGATAAAGGGAATAATTAATAAAAATAAGCATCATTTCTTTGTTTCAAATATTTAACAAATTCAACCGATCTTTCTCTTTTCAGTTTTACTCCTTTTTAACTTATGCCTTTACTTCATTTACAGTTCAATAAGAAAAGTTCACGCTCGCAAACTACAATTGAAACACTATTTTGTTTTCCGAACTCAATTGTATTTTTGACAATGAGTTCAGAAATTCATATTGTTCCAAAATATTTTATTTTTATTTCAATTTTGTTAAAAGTGTATGTATCTTCAATGCTCTTCAACATTCCTTCTTAATGTTTTATTCCTATCCACATCATTTATAAGATAAATTTTAACTTCCAATTTAAGAGCAACTTTAGCTAAGATAAATTTCTGCTTAGCCTGAACTTGCTAAATTTAAAATGAAAACGATAAATTTGAATGCATTTATCTACATTAAATCATTTCACTTCAAAATTCGGTGGCTATAAAATACAGTATAGATGCTTATACCGTACAAACCATACTGACAAAAGAAAACACGTAAACCAGGGAAGAAATGATTTGAGCCTATAAAATCTGCATGTGTGTGTGATTCAGAGAAAAAAAGATTTTGCACGCGAAAAAGTTTTTTTTTTAAAAGTACGGCCAGTTTTGATTGTGTAATAACTCTCGAGGAGAAACGAATTTTCAGATAATTGATTTGTCAAAACGTAGCAACTCTCAAAATGCAACAGCTAACGATCCAATCTTCATTTTTGTGAAAAATGAGCAGAAGCAGTTTCTTGCTCATTGGTCTTTCTCACTCCTCATGATGCATCCTTTTTTTTACAATAACTCGATTTTTCCTGAGCTGAATCTATTATTATTTAATAATGCACGATTAATAATGCACAGTTAATTAATAATAAATTAACTAATTATTAATTCATTTTAATTAATGCACAATTAATTAATATTGCATAGACTTCAAGATGGGAAAGATAGTGGTCAAGATAGAAAATTTAGTCATCTTTTGAGAATCCCGAGTTAATAGGAATTGAAATAGAGTAATTGAGAATGGCAGAAGTGAAATTGATTAAAAATCGATATAATAAAAAAATAATTATACTAATACTGTTATTTTTTCTAGTTCCCGGTAATCTTTTGTAATAAATGGTCTGAAACATCTTTCCATACTTTAAGTTCACTATTCTATCGACAACGCGCTACCGACATTTTAAATACATCATACTTGTATATGAAATGAAAATAGTATGAACAATTATCATTATCAGGGAATTAGGATTTGTTTCGATTTTTAAAAACCAATATTTATTTCTTTATTTTGAACGCTCATTATCTCATGTGGGAGTTAAAGACATTGCAAATTATATTTATAATCTGAAAATATTTCTGGCATTTTCAATTTAACCTTTCTTTGTTTTCTTTTTCTACTAGACTAACATCGACATCATAATTGATGGCAATCAATTAGACGAAATGGGTCTTCTACTTTTAAAATTCGTAATTATTACATAGAAATTATATAACTTGAAAACCATGAATCAAATAAAAAATGAATAATGAATAGGTTAAATTCAAACTTCAATTTTAACTCTCAAAATTTCAAATTATATTTAATTACACAATAAATATGTTATGCTTGTTTCTTTTTTTCGTACTTCGAAAATATTTTTTGTGAATTTATACTTAGTTACATTTTGCTATTAATTTATAATATAAACAAGAGACACCAGTTTTAAAAAATTAATCTTTTATTTTGAGTTGTTCGATTTTTATACCTACAACTAAGTTTCAGATAACACACTAAAGGTTATCCAACATTTTAAAACGTTTGACTTATAAAAGAAAACTCGAAATTGAAAAAATATTGAGTTATTTAGTTCCCGTAATATAATTGCTATATGCAAAATATTGTTTTTATTTTATAGTCTTATATTGTAAAAGTATTGGAAGTAAATTTTTATTTTCAGTTTTCGCAAAACGGATTAAAACTG